TTACTGTTCCCCCATACTGTTGAAGTTTTTGTTCTTATCGACTTTTTGCACTATTCCTTGTGTTGCAGCCATAACAATTCTTGTATTTATTACCCCACCACTTACACGCACTTTACGAATCCACTGCTGCGCCTTGATATCGAGCTCACGGCCGATGAGAAGTGGTTGACCCCGTTGACCCTTCGGTAAAGCTGTGACAATTGAACTCGAATCTTGTTTTTGTTTCCTTACATAAGAATCTCTCATGCCTCTGACGCTACTCTCAGAAACATTTTTTCCAAGATCTTTGCTAAACTTTCGAACAGTCTTCATGACACCATTTTCAAGAGCCGATCGTCCAATTTTTGCCCGAACTTCATCAGAATAAAAATTGTAGTCACCACGTTTTCGTTTGCGGGACACAGAAACACTTTGTTCAACAGCGGTGTTAGCAGCTTCGATGGCTTTAGCCTCGACGAGGGATACTTCTTCACGTGGGTCAGGAAGACCGAGACCCGGGGATGACGGTGGATTAACTTGCTTTAACCAGTTCGTTAAAAGAGACATGGTGTATACAGTACTCGAACGTAAATTAAACTGACAAACTTGATGAAAATCACTGGTTTTTAAAGGTAAAAACCTTTGTTCTTTGGCGTTAATGTGTTCTATTATTAAAACAGGTACTGACTTTTGTATCGATGTCTAGACCTAGGAAGGTGTGATTATTTTTCATTCAAACAATAAGTAGCTTCTGCTTTCACTAATCAAAATCTGGAGCATTTCCTGCCCAACTGGGCAAGTGTTGATCCCGGAAGTTAATCCCGCGAATTCTCTATTCAACTCCGCGAAAATAAAATCCCGCGAAAATGCCGGGTATCTTAAAATCGCGAAAATAAAATACCGCGAAAATAAAATATTCCACAGACTATCTCCCCGACCCAGTGCAATGTATCCGGTTAGAATCAAAGCTCACGTGTCCCTTATTTGAGGGACCAAATTCTGCCGTAAATTCGCCCTTGGATTAAAAAATAAAATGGGATTTAAGAAAATAAAATGGGACTTTTAAGGTGTATTTTGGCATCATTTTTCGGACATTTCAATCAATCCTGCCGGCTAAAATAGAGTCTAAGTTTTACTGTAGTCATTGACGTTTGTCTATTCAAGAGTACACGTGTATGATTTTTATCGTGACTAGCGTGAGCGGGTAAGCTTCCTTTCGAGAATGAGCTGTTATCACTGTGAACAATGTTAAATTATTCTTCAGATGACCAGTTTATTTTTTAAAAACAACTAATTTTTTTATTTAAAAAAAATCATGCCGTTTTCGCATCAAAATCCAAGCCAAAATATCGTACTACAACACCAATTTCTTCCGCATTGCGTTCAATAACATTAACATATTTAAATAAGCTATGGTAATTTGAACACGTTGGCATCATCCAGCTTTTTGATTGGTTAATTAGCGATTTGACCTATTTGACCTAAGAGAACATGGCGGATATCCTACAGCATCAAACGTTTATACGAGACCGGAATCATTCGCTTACGATGAAACTAAGTTGACTTT